TAACACATATCATATATAATCTTATACACATATTATTTATATGCAAGTACACTCATTTCATCATTGATAGTCTATCAATCTCATTTTGAGACTATCAACCTATTTTTTCACTTCTAGATAAGTTTTCGATAACTTTATCTAGAAGATATCTCCCAAAATTGGTTTTCCTTATTGATTCTCAGAGAAATTTATCCAGAGGATAGCTATCGAGAGATACGAAGAAATAGGTCGTATATCAGTCAAATGATAATTATAAAACAAAGAACGTGATACTGTACTCCTATGATGCTGTTACAGTATTTTTTTTTTTTTTATATGAATTTTTTTGTCATTCACACACATGACTATCAATTATTTCGGTGACGTACATCGATAACTTTTTTCAAATAAGATTTTGTTCGAAAATACTTTTTTTATTAAAAGAGTTTCATGGATAATTAATTAGACTACATTTTGCAATTATAAGCTTTTTATTTATTGTGTGTGCATCAGATTATTTTAACAAAAACAATTATATATTTCTGTTCGATTTCCCGCTAAAAATATGAAATTAATGACGATGAGTAATATTCAAAAATTTTCCAAACCGATATTCACGCTTCGCGAAAAAAATGCAGAGTTTCCGAAGAGAAGAAGAGCACTCTACAACAAAATCCACTTCTTTTCGCGAGAAGTAACGCAGATGTGGAAATAGCTTACTCTCGATATTGTACATTCGATCTTTACAATATCTTCTTGTACGAATACGAACATACGGTGAAAGTTGGAAAAACTGATCGTCTGCGAAGTACGATTGTTCTTTCCTTCCCTTCCTCTCTCTCCTGTCAGATCGACCAACTATCGAAGTACGCGCGCGATGTGCGAAACGATTTGAAAATGGGTCAGCTATTTTTTATTTCACATCAACGCGGCGGACAAAATAATGTTCCCTACGTGCGTGCGCGTTTACCTCCGACAAATGCGCTCTCGCCCGACTTCCATTCCGTTTTCTTACCCTTCTTTCCGTCCGTCTGGTAATATAAAGAATTAATTCCTCGACCGTTTCTCTTTTTCAAGAAGCAGAACGTCCCGAGCCGGCCATATCGGCGCAAACGTGATGTAGGAAAAATATTTGACCCGCGGCGGAATCGGTGAGAAACCGTGGATACGCGTCAAAATTGCAGTAATATGTAACCCGACGGAATACCCGACCGAAACTCCGTCACAAATAATGCCGGAACCGTACGTGACAAATAGCGGTCATGTCTTTGCCGTGATATTTCTCAATCGCTAACAAGCACCAGTTATCAGTCTTAATTCTGATTGCAAAATCACGTTCCCCTTTGTCCTCGTGTACAAAAAGGAGAGAAAGAAGTTACACAAATAACCGTAGAATATCATCACATGAAAAAATGTATTTGGAGAAATTTCAAGTGGATATATAATTGAATATCACGCTTTTTTCATCATTTTCTAAAATTTATATCTTAAAAAGTTTCCTCCGTTTATCAAATCAAGTTTTATCAAAGCGCAAGCGCTTTGCATCCACTCCAAGGGGTGGAAATGAAGATAGATAAAGCAATAAAAACAATGTTTGGTGTAATCGTCCGGGAGTGAGAAGTAAATAATTTTTGATCCGAGCAACGCGCGGCGCATAACTCAAGGTTACCACTGCGACGACAAGAAATAAGAGGTCGTTTACAAAAACCATTAATCGCTTATGTTTCGCGCGAAAGAAAAAGAGGTACGGTCGGCACCCTCCTGTGTGCCATTAACACCACACAGCTCGTAATCTTCTTTTCGTAATGCAAGAACGGAGAGGAGGTAACGGCGCTTTCGCACCTGCGTTGCAGCTTGTATTTCTTTAAAGCGCGCGCGCGAGAGACAGGAAGCGTCGTCGAAATTTATCGAGTGGACAGACAGCTTAGAAGCTTGGGCGGGGAAAAACAGCGGCAATAAGAGTAGGAAATTTATTAGAGTTGCCGCAAGGACGTCGATCGATTGCCCGCGTGCCGTGTTACTTTAAATAAATGATTGTCGTCCGTAAATATCAGATGATCTTCTTAACCATCTTTTAAGTAAATACTCTTATAGATCTTGTTTTTAATTAACAACTTGTGATGCGCGCGCAATAAGAGATTCGCTTGGTGAGGGGATACTGATGTTAATTTTAGGATATCTCGAATACCAATTTATTCTGAAGACTATTTGCTGTACAAACTAGTCTGCGTGACCGCCGCGATTAAATCTATCGTATCTCAGATGAGACGGGCAGGTAAGCGTACTCGAAACGCAACGCTTTTCCCGCAATTAAATGTATCACCGTTGTTAAGAAGGAACATCGCGATCCCCAATCCCAGCTACCGGCCGATTAGCGGTTAATTACTTTCCGATAATTCCGCGGAGCGATAACATTTGGTTCGAATCGCGGATCTTCCGTGGGAAGCGGTCGTTCGTGGGGAACGACGATTAGAAAACGCGGCATCGTTAACGTGGCGGGGCCGATGCGATTTTCCGATGCTGCAAACCCTCGAGTTGATCAGAGAGAGAGGGAGATATATAGAACCACCACCCTCGATCTTCTGTGCTGGCTACGCGCACCGCGTAATCGGCCGTAACTGCATCGCGCACTGATGCAACGTTCTCACCTAATTATGTACCCCTCTCCCTCTCTCGATTAAAGGTCTATATATGATCGTTTGCCACAAACGTAGCAAAAGCGGATTCCAGTTTGAACTTTTGAAAATATTACCGTACTTTGACGCAAATCCAAATTGGAATTTCTTAGCCAGCGGCAATTTATTTATCGACGTCCGCAAAAACGCTGCGGTTTATGTGAGAAAAATTGCGCGTGGCATATGATGTGTAATCTTGTACGTATGAAAATCTCTCTCCCGTCGTTCTCTCTGTGCGATCAGCTGCCGCTCACCAAAGTGAGAGTCGAAACGATTAACGCGGAAACGCGTCGCCTTTCTAGGTTGCTGCTATATGGTTCGACACATATTGCGCAGACGAACCACAAAGGGCCGATCCTCTACGTTGATGCACTCATCTTATGCCGGTGCACGGCGACGCATCTGCATTTCTGGCACCCACGAGAATTATATCCGCCAATGAACTTTCTGTCCCTTCGCATGTGGTAGTTACTACGGTAGTTCTTGAAACGGGATTTATGTGTTCGAAAGTTTAAGTCCAAAAACTTTAATTGACTAAAACTCTTTCTTCTTTGTTTTTTACACTTTAATGGATAATTATTCGAGATGTATTTTACGGTAGACTATGTATCGTAATTTATATTTGAATATGAATAAAGTGAAACTTCCTCTGCTGAGGAAGAGCAGCTTACACGTCCCAAAGGAAGATAGTCGAGAGTTAAGTAGACTGATGTGCAACATCGACATGTGATTTTACATCAAAATATAATATCGATGAAGCTGTCGTTAAAATACACTTTATATTACCAAAACATTTAATGCACAAATTTTTATTTACATTTTCAAGAAGTTATATTAATAATAACTTTATTCAGATGAGCTGACAAAAGCTGTTCAAAAATCTTATTGGAAAACTAAGAAAAATACATAAATCAAATAAAACTAAGAAAAATACATAAATAAAAAAGATAATAAACATTAGAAAACGGATGATAGAAAAAAGATATTGTATTCATTAAAAAAATGAACAACGTAGATAATGATATAAAAGAAAAAAATGAAAAGAAACGGAGAGAAAAAGCAGACTGAATAGAATTCTAACATCATTCAACAACTCCGTAAAATATACTTTGTACTTTAATAACATATACTCGTTTCATGTTAATTAAAAACTTAAATTTGCGTTACAAGATGTAATTGTTATTAATATCATTCTTGATAAAATAATCGTGTTTTGCCGAGTGCCTTTTTAATTATTACAAACATTTTGTGCCATACTACTTTTTTTGTGAAGCTAGATCTTGATTATTTAAACTCTGTAGCAGTGAATGCGCGCGAAAGTCTTTCTTTGTTCTTTAATTCGGTTAGAATAGAGAGTACAACGAAAAAAATGTCTTTGAAAGTTTCTCATCACATCTCTGAAATGTCGATTTTATAATATTAGCGTCTATATGTAGGGAAGATAAAAAACATGACAAAGAAAGCTTTCGTGTTCTTGGCGATATTTTTGTTTTCGCGCTGCACTTTTTCTAATCGATCTACAGCTGATCTGGTTATAACATACCTTCGGATTTCTTTAACCACCTTAGAAATTAGTAAGTAGAGGTAGAGATATATATAGTTTCGCTCCACTTTGTAACCGTTGCTTTTTATATCTAGTCTATTCTTTTGTATTATATGACTATGTATGCGATCAATCGTCTTGAAATCGCCTTCGCAAATTGTAAGTTAACACAACGTTTTATACACAACGGGAACCTCTCGGCATTTTGTATCATTTAAAAAGTCATTATCTTCAAAATGTTCAAAAATTTTTGTCACCAGTATGTTTTCCTCGTTGAGTCACAGAGGATCTTATAGATCTAGGTGACAAAAGGGACTCACAAGCCCTCCGCTATTAGCTTATCTTATCTTATGTTTTCTTCGTTAAAGTTTCGTTCAACATATCTATTTGAAAAATAACTCGAAAACTTAAATACAATTACAATTTATTTAGAAAGCGAATAATTTGCTTTAAGAATATTCGCGAAGAGACGTCAAAGGTGCAACATCGAGGGAGCATTGTACCGCTCTTTTCACATTGCCTCGATGTACTGCAGTGTACCGCGATTCACAGCCCACGCAATTTATACGGCGAAATACCGGTTTCGCGTTCTTACTCCTCCTCTCATCCCGCGAGTGTTGCATCGCGCCGCAGAATTATCAATTTATCCGATATTTATACAGGGAGCGGTATGCCGACCAATCCTCGTATCTGAATCGTTCATTAATTAACTCTCATCCGGTGTTTCGACGGAATTAGTTTTTAATCACAGTCGTGTGCGGCGTGTTCGTTAGGAGACTCGCTAACGGACCAGATGTACTCACCGGTGCAGAGCAGCAATAGGTTCATTATCGCGATCTGCGTGCGGCGGCTGATCCTGGTCCTCGGCTTTCTATCCATGGTTACAGGAAGAGAGAGAGAGAGAGAGAAGTGGAGTTTAGAGGGAGTAACTTCACCCGAGGATAGTAATTTCACACGTGTTTCTCACTCCGCGCTCTCTCGTCCTCTAACTCCAAAACTTTCAGCAGGCAAGGTCGGGATGGGCGATAATCAAATAAAATATATAATACACCGTCAATCAGAGATATATCACCTTATAAATCTAGGTGGATATACATTCACTAATTCGGCCTTCTCAAAGGCCGAAAGCACTACACGCACGCACATCCGAACGATGTTCACTGCGGAAATGTACTCGCATCGACGATGGCGAGCACGAAATGCGCGCACGCTGCACCATTCTTCATCACACTCGGTTGCATCGAAATGTCGTTTCGAATTTGTTTTTTCTCCGTTCTCCTCGGCTACCGTTAATCGCTACCGCACGCAACTGTCCGACGTTTCCAAGGTAATATTCACGACCGGCGAGTATCTTACGCCAGCGGTGACGCTTGCATCGAGCGATGCATAAGGTGGAAAAAACGACGCGCTTCTCGCGGTCGATTCACGCGCGATCATCGCTCAACTGCGCGCACGGGGATGAGACTCCATTCCCGCACGGGGCGGTGGATGTGTGCACGTATATGTACGTGTGCGTGAACCGCGTGCACCTGACGTATTAATAGCTTCCTGCGGTTGGAGATTTCAATCGAGACTCTTCTTCGCTTCGTTTTCTGCTAGTGACTGCTCCGTTCTAACAAAGAATTTTATCTCGCTGATGGCCGATAGGCACCATACGGTGACGAGGACAATGCAACGGAAAATGCCTGCTGAGTTTTTGTTACAAGTTTCGAAAAAAGGTAGAAATTCCAGATGGAGCAGAAAACGCTTGGCGCGAAACCGAAACTAACAAGAAACTATATCGCGTGCATCCGTCGATACTAAAAGCGCGCCTCTCGACAGTCGCACGGCAACTGAGCCTGTGATCTCATCGCGCCTTCGTTGCCCCCCACCAAACGATTCTCACCCCTCTACAAAGCACTCGAGCCGCCACGCATAGTGTGCCACGGCGTACTACAACCGGCCGCGGTGGCGGAGTGCAACGTCGACGGTGGAGGCGGTGGTGGTAACCGGCCAGAGCCGGATGCACGCCTGCAGGTGCAAGGAGGCGCTAACGCGCGAGACTCGTCCGTGAGAGAACTCGCTTACCACAGGGTTTCTCAATTTGCCCGGGGAACTCTCGGGAGTTTCGACAAGATTGCCCAAAGGTGCTCTTACGCTCTTACATGCGGTGGGAGAAAAGTAGAAAGTAGAGAGAAGAGTAAAGAGGGATAACGAAGGAATAAATAAGAGGTGAACAACAGATGCAACTTTAAAAGAACTGTTTAGTCGCATCACTGCAAAAGTTTTGCTTTGTTTTTTTTCTTGTTATTATTATTTACTGTTCCGCGCCATTATTCTCTCATTATTATATAAAATAGCTTCAAATAATAGCAGACGACAACCTCGAAATATGGTTGCATGTATGGCCCTCTCTTGAGACATATATACCGTAAATGAACTACTTGGACGACATTAGAAACTGTTTCAACTCGCTGGTAATAGTGCATTCTAGTTATCTGAGAGGATGCATTACGTTTGCTCTGTTGAAACAATGCTGAAATTTAACGAAAGTGGTACATTTTTATAAGGTCTTTATCATCGGTTACGTTCCATCAAGAACAATTCCCAGAAAATAAAAATACAGAGCAATTCTAGAATTATACAATTGAGTTACAAAAATAGGACAAGGATATTCTCAATCGGAATTTAAAACGAAAGATTAAAATGTATTATTGTTTGCACATTTTTAGATTTGATTTGATATTACTCTACAGGATAGAATCTGCACAACGTTGCAGGAGAAATGGAAAAAAGACGATAGCGTGCCGATATAATTGAATTTTACTATAATCGATCTGTTCGATCCTTCATTGAAGTGCAAGCAAACGTGTAACATTAATAGGCTGAATTGCCAGATTCAATAAAACGCTTGATATAACAAAACTTTTAGAATAAACATACTTTCAATTAAAAATATCGTCGCGAATAAGCATCGCGGAAAGTGATGCGAATGAATGAAACATGTACGTAACATGCTAGCAGCAATAACGTCTGTATTCAGATGAACTAATTTTGACAGAAGGTAATTTAAAATTTACATAATTCTCCAATTTTAGTCTGTTAATCGGCACCCATATGGCTGCGCTGGGTCTGAATAAGTTTAATTATTTTAATTACTTAATGCAACGTTCTCTCTCTCGTTCTTCTCTGGCCAATTTTGCTTCATGCATACATGGTACAATTTTCTTCCTCATTGAGACGTATTGTCATTTTCTTTTCAAAAGTTGATCGTGATAGTCTGTGTAAACTTTTTATTTAAATCTTTTATTTGCGCTCTTTTCTATTGATGTTTTCATTTTCGTGCAATTTATTCGGTTTAGTTTATCTGCATTGCTCGGGGCGTCAATGGAACAGGAGCCAACCCTGTCAACGGCGGTGATAGTTATATAGTGGGGAGACCATGCGACAGGGTAGAAGGGTGTCGACGAATGTTGGTTTCCAGTAGAGGGTGCGGGAGCGAACGATGGCAGCAACGGCGGGGACGAGATGCGCGACGGTAGTTTCCCCCACCGATCCTCTACGGCAGGTGGTTCTTTCTCCCGCGGGCTCCACTCGAGGGACCACCAAGCATTTTCGGCCGGTCGCCTGCACCGTCGCGGAAGAGCGTAAACCTGCTGCGAGCACATACGGCACGGCTGTAACCCCCCGAGCAGGGAGTGTGTTTTTAATGGATCGCGTTTGTAATAACACACAGCTTCGAAACACGCCGTCCTGATAAGTCCGCACTTACATCGTTCGTCGCTCGCAAATTCGCAGTTTTCACATCCGTTACCTCAAGTTATAACGCGATAGAAATTATAACGTCTAGCTACAAATTCCTCTTTTTTTTTACACAAATTTTCTGTGTTATCATTCGCCTAAGGTTCATTTTGATACCTTTAAAAACTCCCGTATAGAAAAATATTGATATAGTCGAAAAAAAAAAAAAAAAAAAAAAACGGAGCAGTATTTCGATGTATTGTTAACATTTTTGCGTGTTTAGTCGCAATTCCGGTGCGATGGCTATCGCGAGCTCGAGAGTTTTATAAATATAGCCGGTCGGGTTTGCCGATTCTACACATTAATCTTCCACTTTTTACTCTTTTAAATAAAAGCGTCTCTTTATAAAAGACTCAATTCGTATGGATTTGCATAGATTCGCAATTTGGAGAAAAGATAGCGCCAACACCGAAGTGGAGTTTAGAAACATCTCCACAAATAGGCTCATAACACACCGATATGTACTTATATCGTGCGTATTATGATATTGTATTGTTTATTTCGATGTCGATTGTGTAGCCGCGGAGTTCGAACGTGCACGATAGCATAAATTAGCGTTTGATGCAGTGAAGGTCTCGCCACTGGTGAATGATAAACCGTTGCGGAGATTAAAACTGTATTTTGCATTGGTGGTTGGCTGGGCTCATCATAAAATGTCGATCACGGTGGCCCAGTTACACAGTCACGACCATGTAAATTGAACTTCGATCCGATCAATTTCGGACATGTCGAAACAATTTTAATGGGCGAATAATGACCTCGATAAAAATAGCGTTCTTTCGTTACTACAAAAAAAAAAAAAAAAAAAAAAAATGTAATAGAACACACTTTCATGTGTGATGAAATAAATCGACTAGCATATATCGCTCGGTTGTGTCGAGTGCCACAAATAAGACTCGACAGGGAGCTGCCATCGACATGATAATCTCGTTTGACGTCGTCCCGCGTCCTGAAGGAATGCTTCGAGGAATGGTGGAAGAGGGAAGAGCGTGTTTATTATGTAACACGTTTATTACGGTCGTATCACAAGGTGCGCGCGTGTCGCTCTCGCGCTCTCAGTTGATGATCGCTAGTCTGACAAAGTTTTAATCTTTTGGCTTACGAATTGTTATTTATCTTTAGCGAACAAAGGGAAGTATATAATTTGATCTCTGAGAGAAGCGCAAGACATCGGAGATCTACGTTGTGAAAATATGTCGGAAACACAGGCGGGAACGCCTCCCTTATACCTTTGGGATTCTTACCTGTCCTTCGCTACCTGACCAGTTTGCTCGAATCCCAAGACTTTGGCTCCTCTCATGGCTATCTTCAGCTTTGTCTCGCCAGATCAAAAATGAAAGAATTTATGGTAGCATTGTGTAGGCTCTGTAGGAGAGAATGTCGCAAAGCGTTCATGTTCGCATCGGCATGCGCTGTCCACAAATATGTGCGAAATACCATCCAACGTTGGCGAGCAAGGTACGTTGGTAATATTATCGCCCACAAATATTTACTGCTCGCCGCTTGGTCGATAAACATCAAAGAAATACTGTCAAAAGATATTGGAAACTTAATTGTTTACAATACGATATTTCAATGTCATTGAAAGAACTTTTTCTATTTTTTTTTTTTCTTCCGTGCTCTTTCGCATCATTTCAGGAAAGTTCGCCTAGAAATAATATCAAACCAACGCTACACCTTTCTTTTCACCTTTCTGTTATAAATTTCGCATGTTTCAATTACGTTAATTTGATATTGTTCGGTACATTCTAGTCGTTTTACTGATATCTGTCTTGCTCCTGATAATGTATTTATATAATATTTGACGTACCTAAAACTAGTCGCGACGTGGAGAACGTGACAACTTGTTATTAATAGAATAAATTCACTATGACAACGTAGGATATTCTTGGCAACGAAATTCATCTCCGAAACGCTGCCAGCAATTATGTCAGCTGTGTTGCAGCGCTATGAACACACATACACACACATCTATTATTTTTATATATTTATTTACGGCCTCGTTTTATCTGTGCTGTCGACACATTTGCACTAAAAGAAAATATTACATAAAAATATACGGTGAAAAATTTCTCAGCTTCGTATCGGTAAAATCATAAAATGAATTATTTCTGAAATTATTCATATTCAACAGAAAAAGAATAATTGAATATTATTAGTGACACTGAATTATATTGAATGACATATTTTCCACTTTTAGAAAAACTTATAGGATTTTCTGGTTTTATTTACTTGTTGGCCTTTACGTTTGTAAATTCAACTTGTGTCCTTCATATTTATGTCTATGTTTGTATTGTCTTGGACTATGTAACTCGTTAGCGACTTGTAGGAGCAAAATTTGTCATACAGTATGTTCGTTTTATAAATGATACTAATTTATTTTGGCTAAGTGTGGTAGATCCCGCTTTGTATTTGGCCAGTTGACCTTAATCATTCTTAGTAAATATTACGTTTTCCGAAAATTTTACAAAACAAATATATGTACAAACTCAAAAACATTTTTCAATCAATTCCAAAATAGATAATTAACCAGTGAACTTGAGCAAAACCTAAATTCGACAATGATAAAATATGCGCCGTAGCAATTCGTAAGAATAATTGTTTATTTAATCAATTAACTAACAAATCAAGTTAGATATCGTACATTACATGCGCAAAATCGAGCCTGATATCGCGCGTGCAATGTTTTTATACTAAATTGGATAAAGCTAATTTTCATAAGTTTTCGACCCTGCATTCATTAGTGAGTTTCTATAAAGCTAGCTAGATATGTTCATTATAAAATTCCAATAATTAAAATTTTTTCTTTTCTACACATGTGTATTAAAAAATATTTTTTGCTGAATAATATAAATAATTCGTCGATCAATACTTAAAAAATATCTGCAACAGAATCGACTTTCGTTATTGATAACGAAAAAGTCGTTTTATGGAAGTTTATGCTTTTTAATATATGCGATATGGTCACAAATTTGCACAGTAACAATTGTCATCTCCATCGAATGTTCAAATCACTTTAAATTTCGCACATTGATCGCTTCACATTCTAATCGACCTAATGGAAAATGCATCATTCGTGATGAGGGAAGAGAGGAGGGA